AGGTGAACAAGGTTGTGGTCAGATCTGCCAAGGGGGGGGAGTGATGTGGAGCTGTAGGCATTCTTGACATTAGCATACAGCAAGTCCAAAGTCTTGTTATCTCTAGTAGGGCATTTAACAAATGGACCAAAAGTAGCCACTAAAAGTGGCACAAGGTAAAACATTTTACTTGAATTTGTTGGTTGCTTTGTAATGCATTTCAACACTGATAGTTAGCTTTAGGAAAATGCATGTGTCCGCAATGTTGTTTATACTTTTATTTCTTGCTATTCATCCCCTGTTCACAAAAATTAGAAACATAATTGTAATGTATCATCAACAACAGAATATTAACTTTTTAAGAATCTATTTAGCAGTCCAGTTTGCAGTACAAAACCTAACACAATGATCAGATGAGTCAACTTACATCAAGCTGTACAAAAGCCTAGGGAACTCCTTACATTTCATGGTAATTCCCATTTTGGGAATGTTTTGTAAGGTCTTTCTGGCAGTAGCAAGAATGAATTAATAAAGTAATCAATTACAGCCTGTCAGCTATCAAAGAAACATCAGTTGCTACTTACTTTGACTTTCAATAGAGGACCTAAAGCAATTACTCTCCTCCCTCTCTTGTGCAGAGGTAGATGGTTTACTGAATAAACCTCTTTTATTTGAATTGTCTTGCACCCGTAGCTGAACTGAAAGGATGACTGAAAAACTGATGTTCTAGTTAAGCGTCTTAATTTGGTAACTGATACTACATCACCATATTAAAAAGACCTAAGGTCGCTTTTCTTCTGTCAACATGAGGTATTGTGTGGTTAAAATATTAATATTAATATTATTTTTTCATTTATGTGCTTTAATTTTTCTTTCCCCAAGTATCATTTAATGTTACCTGGAAACCATCAGATGAAATGTACTTGAGGGAATTACAAGTAAAGCTAAAATAGATGTAGCAATTTCAGCTGATGCACTGGAGCCAATGATGATGTTTTTAATCTGAAAATTTATTTTGGGGACATTAACTGATTCGTTCAAGCTCTGAACATTCAATATTTAAATAATTAAAACAAACTGCAGGAAAAAATACTCAGGAAATAGTTTACAACCTGTTGAGAAAGAAAACCCTTAAAGACATTCAGTGTATTATCTGCGTGCTTGATAAACAAAGCAGTGTTTTGGCCTTCCTCTACCTTTGCCTTTTACCCAGAATTCCCAACATTATAAGGGGCTACCGTCCTTGTGCCAACAGCTAAGATTCAGTCGCTAGCCTTCCTCAGAAGGATTTTCTATAGCAGCCTTTAAAACGTCTAACAGACTCAATGAAGCATAAAGAAACGGCAAAGAAAGGGAACGAGATGTGTGAGGAAAAATAAATGAGTCCACATTGTGCAGGTCCAGGAATAGGAGCTAGGCAGCAATGATTATATCTCCTGAAGTGCCTTTTGTTTAAGCATGAAGTAATAGGGAAGAAAGCCCCTTCATGGCAAGGTTTTAACAGACAGCCTAAGATTGATTTCTGTATTCACTGGAGGAAAGTGGAACATTCATGAGATGCATGCAGAGTTTCTTCTCTCCCGTCTCCTCTGTATGAGGAATTACAGCATCTAGTGAGATTTTTTTTTGTTTACCCCCATACAGATCTGAGCATTCAAGACGATCACTAAGCTGCTTCAGGCTTTTGTGAGCCCATTTCAGAGTGTTTCTCACATAGCTGTGGCCAGAGTTCTGGCAGTCTGCTAGGACCGTAAATTGAGATTGAAAGTATTTACAAGTGGGTTCACAAGGAGAAAAATGTTGGAAGTAAAGCCGAATCTGGAGGAGTAAATAGAGAGGAACACCTGTGTTCTAAAAACATTTGCTCAGCATGTTAGGGAATATACTGTACCGTACTTAAATATAAAGTTAATTTTACGAGTACAGTTGTGTCTGTAAGGAGTCGTTTATATTTTGACTTTTGTTTACAAAAAATGATGCATTTGTAGTTGTTTTTTTAAAATACAATACATTGAAAACAGAGCAAAAATATTACACACACTAGTGTCAAAATATTCCAAGCATCTGCATCCTATAATCATTTGAAACATACAAAGTTTATTTCGCTCTTATTTGTCTCTTGTTCAGTGAATTAAAAGTTGTATCTATTGCCAAAAAGGAAGTAAGTGCTCTCCCTTAGAGTCCTCCTTTTTAACCTTTTTTTACCTCTCTGTTACCCACAATACTATGTTTTTAGCTGTGTTCAAAAGATCCATTAATTTACTGAAAAAACGTATTTATCTTTGTCCTCTAACAATGAGTGACAGCTTCACACTGCTCTTAAATCTACTTCCATAGAAGCTGCATTTAAACTTTGAAACGAACTGCAGGTTAGGTAAGACCATAAGAATAAAAAAAAAAACAACTAGGGCAACATGAGAGGCTTTGAATAAAAAAATACCCTAATGTCCCACAGCAGCAACATTACCTTTTTTGGTTTCATTAAAATTGATTCTACCAAAATGAGATGGAGAGCTTATACAACAATCAATATAACATTCTTGCTTGGTTTCCAGACTGCTGTAGGTTAGTTGCTTGAGTATTCAGAATTGAATTGATTCCTTAGTTTGATTTATCCAAATGTGTGCTTGCACTAGGTTATATAGGTTAATATAACAGATGTCAGAAAAGTTAACGTTTTGCTGATCTTTGCAATGCCTGAATCCATTTTCTGCAATTAAGTTTCTGTCTTTAAAAGATCCAAATAGGTTTTTACCAGGAATTAGACTATAATCTGAAGATATACAGTATAATCTACTTAGATAAAAAAGCAGTGTTAATTTTTTCTGTCTGACAACTAAGAGTATTTGCACATACTGTAACACAAATTAATACCAGGTTTATTTTAACCACCTGAAATACAGATGGGCAAAAATGTTTGTAATAGGTACCAGATTCCAGGAAAGTTAACTGGTAATTTTCACACCTAATGTGATTTCATCATATAAATGCATAAACTCAGGACATCTCTTACCAATTTCATGTACTACTAGATATATGTGCTCTCTATTTCTGTATAATAATAATTCCTTACACTTATGTAGCGCATTTCTGGACACACCACTCAAAGCGCTTTACAGGTAATGGGGACTCCCCTCCACCACCACCAGTGTGCAGCCCCACCTGGATGATGTGACAACAGCCATAGTGCGCAAGAACGCTCACCACACATCAGCTATTAGTGGGGAGGAGAGCAGAGTGATGAAGCCAGTTGGGGGATTATTAGGAGGCCATAATTGGTTGGTAAAGACCAGGGGGAACTTTGGTCAGGATGCTGGGGTAACACCCCTACTCATTTAAAAAAACACCCTGGGATTTTTAATGTCTTTTTACAGTTTTAGTGTCCTCATCACTATACCTGGCCATTAGGACAAACACGGACTGCAGGGTGAGCACCCCCTGCTGGCCCCACTAACCTCTTCCAGCAGCAACGTTAGCTATTCCCTGGAGGTCTCCCATCCAGGTACTGACCACACTCACCCCTGCTTAGCTTTAATGGGTTGCCGGTTGTGATTTACAGGGTGATATGGCTGCTAGCATATATATATATATTATCTATATATATGCTGTGTATAGATTAATAGTATCAACGTTTTGCAACCTTTGCTTAAATCAGATAAAGACGAATGACTTCCTGACATCACTGCCTTTCCACGGGTCAAGCATACATCAGTGGTGGCCCAGTTCAGTCCTGGCAATCCACTGTCCCTCTGGTTACCTTTAACACTTAAAATGTTAAACACCTGGAACAAATGCAACCAATAAAGTATCAAGTAATTCATTTTGGTTATAGCAGATACTTTGGCTTCCCTCAAGAAACTCCTGGATGGGATCTTTGGATCAACCACCGGATAGGCCAGAATGAAGGCTGTGAATGGCCTGACAGTGACTGAATAGCCTCCTCTTGTTTTGAACTTTTCTCAATATTCTTAAGTTAAGAAACTGAGAATATAGGTGAAGTGGAATCCCAGAAATGCCTTGTGGCTGTTCACGATCAGTCAAGAATCTGACACTGATGTCACAGCCCTGCTCTGATTACCAACTTAAAACTTCAAGATTTGTTTAAACAATTAACTGGTTTTCTTTCCAGGTTTTAAACAATGTAAATGCTAGTGCTACAAAAGCTTTTGAAATCTTGCAGTCTTTGGCTATCACTGCCCTAGGGGAATTTAAAAGAAGGAAATATATATATATGTACTGTATATGGTGTAATGCCTGAAAAGTAGTGTTTTTGTTGACATACCCTTCTACATCATGGTGATGATACAGTTAATAGCCTATGTATACAGGTATTAGCAGATAATAGTGTTCCAATAGTGATAATGTGATACTGTATGTGTTTTCATTTTTATCATGCTTTGGAATTTTGTTCCATGTGTATCTCAGGAACACTCGATGTCCTGTGAGTAGTTACAATTACAGTAGGTACAGTACAATTGCAGGTACACTTTGAGCTTTCCCACGCTGCCAGAGGAACTCAGTTAAACTCTTCCTTGAAAACTCTTGAGAGGATAGTTTTGTATTCAAATCCCATCTTGTCCTTAGTTGCTCTTGACAAACAGCCAACGAGAGAGAATGTATAGCCAGTTCCAGTAGAGTTTTTGTCAGAGGAATTAAAAGGGCCCAGGAAACATTAAACAGGCAATAAATTGTGGAAATGACTTCTGTAGGTGCCATACCAAAGGTCTTTAAACCCCTGTCCTCTGGCATCTTACATTTTGTGGTCTTCTATCGCATAAGCATCAATCCTATATAAAGAAAAAACTTGTATTTCAACTGCAAGCAACAATATTTATGGAGGCAGAAGCCTACCCTGATAAACTACTTTGAACTATATCCTGTTGGAATGTACTGTAGCTGTGATTCAGGCTCTGAACATTAAGTTGACAAGTTAATTCTTACTGAAGTCCAAGTGTTCTATTTTTATGTTTTTCATGTAGCGGGAGACATTTTTCTGAGTGCTTTTTCAATCAACCCACTCGGCTAAAGCTCTGCCTTCTCCTTCCTCCTGAGATTTACCGTTTAGTGTGCTTTAAATTAGCCATTTTCAGAACACATCCTGACTAGCTGGTTATAGCCTCTGAAGGTCTAACCCTTTTGCCATAGTTTCTTGGTCTTGCTCCCTGTCTCATTTTTCACATTGTTTTACAGATTTTGTCATCTGTTGTAAAATGGAATTACAGAACAGTTCTAGATTTATTTTAAGCTAACAAAAAAGATATAGTAGTCACCTGTGTGATCAAAAACCTTTTTAAAAAATATATTTTCCTAGATCGTAGTGGGATCTCATTTTTTCTCTCTGGGAAAGCATGGATCTGTAGCATTTATACTTATATCTTTTCTTATGAATCAGCTTATCAGATGTTTTGAACCTCCTGTTTAAGAAACATTACATGTACTGTACCTCTCACCTTGACACACTTTCTTCTACATGTGTAATGATACCTAACTTAATAATAATATGCCTAAGAATCACAAGATGGCAATGAAATGTGTTTTACAAAATCTATGCTACTGTATAACTTTTAACACAGTGCTCAATTAATCAGATTGAATATTCATCTCTAGTTCAGGAAAGTTGTAATGTCATTTTATTTGATCAAAATGCTCAATGCAAGGTTTGTTATGGAATGGCCTTGTTCACTTCTTTTCTTGATCATTTCTTTTTTGAAATCCTACAGCAGAACTGTATTTGTGCTTAGAACATGTTTGCTTTTGCAGAGAAAAAGCCAAAAAGCAAATTCAGTTTTATAAAAAGGACATCTCTTTAAATATGAATGACGGTGTTGTCATCTTTCTCTTAATTTGTGGATTTTTTTCTCTTATATTTTAAAATATGTATTGTTTGTTTTTTCCACAGGTGGTATATGTCACTGCTACATTCCCTTATGTGATGCTAATGATCTTATTGATACGAGGAGTTACTTTGCCTGGAGCTTCTGAGGGGATTAAATTCTACCTGTACCCTGATATCTCTCGCCTCTCTGACCCGCAGGTAGGGACATTTCTCCTCGGGGCTAGTGTTTAACAGCTTCACAAGACACTGCAGATGAAAATGCTTTGTAGTCTAAAAAATTATTTAATGAAAGCCCAGTGCTTATACACCAAATGCAATGTATTACTTAACAGACCTACTAAAGAAAACCTGTATGTGGAGGTGAAGGATGTAACCTGGTGTGAACTTCAATGAACTATAAATGACAGGCTTTGCTAAATATACAGTATCCTTGCTATATTTCCTTCTCGACATGAAATTCTTCATAAAACTTCAATTGTAAAATTGCTCACAATGGAAAGGCAGTCTAAAAGCAGTATTAAATTATTTGTTAATGCATGAAGACATTTACCAGTTCTTTGAATTAAGATAATCCCTTCACTTTTAGGTACTAAAAACATCATATTTGTAACGAGAGATTCTTGACGTTTATATACGAACATTTACTGTGGAATTTTGGCACCCAATCCATGTGTTTGGCTCAGATAAATATTTTTGAAGATGTAAGGATCTAGGATAGGATACAATACATATTCAGCATCTTAAAACCCTTACAAAAATAGTATTTACTCGTGTAAACCTTATCCATTTGTGTTTTAAATTATTGGAAAAGACAGCACTGCTCTTTTTCTTCAACATTAAACAAATGAAGGCCCCGACTACATGACCTTTTAGCCCATGGTTTTGTGCATAATAACACAGAAATTAACGTGGGTGTGTCATGGCTAAATTGAACTTCTGGACTTGGACAATTTGGCCTTTCTAAATTTCCACCTTAATTGAATGAGAGAAATTTCTTGTTTCTCTGTGATGGACTGGCATCCCATCCAGGGTGTATCCTGCCTTGTGCCTGTTGCTTGCCGAGATAGGTTCTGGCTCCCCTGCATCCCTGTATTGGATAAAGCTATTAGAAAATGAACGGATGGAAATGTCTTGTTTCGTCCCCTGTTGAGTCATGGGACTGGTTTATATCATCCAGGTGGGTTCTGCACTTCAGTCATTGATAAAATGGGTTCCCTTCTATGTGTGAAGCACTCTGAGACCACATGTACTATAAGCTATGGTTTTTATTATATAATGCTTTGCTACATTATATTGTTAAGATTTTGAAATCTTGAAGAGCATTTTAGTGAAGACAGGGTTTTTAGTTTCTAGTAAACTTCAGATCTGCTTTGATATTGAAAGGTACTGTACATGATGTAAAAATGGAAAGTATAACCCTATTCATTTAATGTTGATTTCCCAAGTTTCTAGGCAACAGCTCAGAGAAAGCAGTTGCTAAACTTTTACCCATCTAGTTGTTAGAATGAGGGTGACTTCTATACTCAAGCTCTTGTCACTCTACTGAAGTGAGATACTTCTAATTCTTGACAAAGGAGAGAGAAATTAAAGTCCCTGTGAAATAGAACTCGGTCGTTTTCCCCTTGTCAAAGGAATAAGTTATCTACAGTTGAATTTATTTACTATTATACCTCATTGAGGTATAATCAATTATTATATCTCAATTGAGGTATAATTGAGGGAATTCTTTATTGCTGCAATTTATACATTAACTGACCTGATTAGGTTTTGTGAGTGCAATAAGCTTTTTTTTATCTTTAACGTGCAGGATGTGGTTTACATGCACTTCACATAAGCTTTGCCCTGGGAAATCATTGTCTAAGCTTATTAAATTTTAATTCTATTGAATTGAATAACTGTAGTGAAAAAAAACTCCTGCAGCTTGTGTATGTTTGTCTTGGTGACCTACTTTTTTGTTAGTTAAGTCTTCATCTATTGTTCAGTATTTCTTAATTTGTTTTGAGGGGGCTGAGCTTTTCTCAGTTGAATAGGACCGTTTTACCTCCTGCACCTATGCTTATGAAAGCGCACATTAATAGTGCCTGAAATTATAACACTTACGATTATGTTAATGACTGTTGTGTACTGGGTTAAATTCCCGCTATTGACTGGCATCCTGTGTTTCTAGCATACTTTGTGGGTCTATATAACCTTTACCATGAATGAACAGCTTTCTGATAATGGATAATTGCCTTATTCATTATTACTGATGTAAATAAAATATTTTGTGAAAACAATCTGACACTGAACATCATGCAAGGAAACACATTCCCAAATGTTAGGGCCTCATTGGAATTATACCGAAATGCGTGTTTACATAGCTGCCTTTTGCTTTGAGACCAGCACTAACTTGACCGGAGAGGAAATTTTGTTTCAAGCTCCCCTGTAGGATGTGAGAAGCCGATTGTAAAAAGAAAAGTTGATTATATTTTTCATATTATCAAAGTTCTAACTATTTAAACATTTAAGAAGCTGGCTCTTTACACCAAAGGAACTAACCTGGCTTTTCAGTAATTATTATTGACAAATGTGTGGCTGTTCTAGTAGCTGTGGCCCTTCCCCACTGCAAGAACACTTATAATGGCCTCTATTGTAGTGTCGGCACAAATCCATTATATTCCAGAGGACGTGATCTGGCAGAAAGTTCATACAGAGTTTAAAACAGGTCACTAGCTCTGCAAGCAGTGGAAGAAAAATATTGACTTACATTACATATTAGTATGGTACAAATGTACAATAATGCAAAGCAGCAGCATTCAAGTTCAAAAGAAAGAAGTAATCAATGAAAAGATGGTGGGTGTTTAGTGGTATGCAAAGTATTGTACAGTACCATGTTTATCATTTCTCCTACCGTATGTATCTCATCCACAATGCTGGAGTTTTGAAACCCACACAACAAATTGCACACACATTTCACACATTTCACACATTCAGCTGCAAAAGATAATTGTGCAATTTAAATTTAAAATATTGTTACTTCTGTCCCTTTTCCCTCTACTAGCGTTTTGCAAGGTAGCAAAGCCTTATGCTGCTTTGTCATACTATATATAGAAATATACAAGCTTTAGATGAATAGTTGTAAATTATTATTTAAAAAGCTACCACTTAAACATACTGTAAATATTTTGCTTCCCTTATTTGAAATAAAAGCAACTGATCTTGTGGGCAGGAGAAGCATAGCCATTTGGATTGAATTGTATATCATTTTGGTAATTTACTAAAACTGATTATATAATGTTTCATCCTTTGCTTTCCTTTGTTTCAAATGCTGCACACAAACATCTTTTTCTAGCTGTGCATGGGCTGTCAGCATCTGTCCTGTGAATTGATTCTCTGTTCAGCAATGCCAGTAGATTTAAGATTCTGGACTGCTACAGCATCCCATCAGCCATCCTACAGTGTAACATTGTACTATGACTGTGGTCAGCCTTGCTCTTGGATCCTTCCATGTATCTGCTTTACAGATTGAACTGTTACTTTTCTGTGTTCTTTTAGGATATCCTAATCTGCTATGAGAACAAGTTATTTAGCATTTCTGTCAGTGGTGTGGTTGGTACTGTGCTTTATTGCATTTAATTTAGTTATTGAGTAAAAGTCTTCCTACCATTAGAAAAAGTAAACCAGCCACATGCTGTTTTGATGGCTTGTAAAGCAAAGTGCATATCGTTGGTCATCTCTGTATTAAATATGTAAGCCAAGCACATACTGTAGCTAAAGACACACACTGTTGTTGAGGGGTAGTGCCATGCATCTACTGCTTGAATAAGGAGAGAAGTGAAATTAATATTGATGCACTGCTCTAATGCTTGTTGAACAATCTAATTAAAATACTGGTTAACTTATACATATTAAGTTTCATACTATTCCTTGTTTGGAATTTGATTTCCTTAATAAAAAGTGAAAAACGTGTTTGTGATCAGATATATCTTGGATACACAGCTCTTTAATTTAATTTAAACAAGACTTAAACTTAAAATTCATTCCTGATAGGAAAATTCAATTATCAGTACTAATTCACTTGCAGTAATGAGATAGTAAATGCACACTTCCAATACACTAAACAAATATGCATTTAATCAGAAGAAATATTCATAATTAAAATCTGGTGAGGCAAGAACACCAGTCAATAATGTTGAAATCATTTCCAAATAATTACCATATACAAATAAGTTTAAAAATATGTTTTGTGTCAGTCAAGCAAATATTGTATAAATTTAACACATTTGTCATAAAAACTACATACGAAACTCTTGCTTTTGGACAGATACTGTAACATAGCATTCTTTCCTGTAGAAAGTTTACAGGAGTAAAGGAGGGTAATTTGTTTTCCCCACAGACATCAACTGGATTGGTTTTCAATCTGAAGAATTTGAATAGAAACAAATTTTCAGGAAAACAAATGTGTATATTTCCTAAAAAATGTTATTTTCTTCACTTTTACGGAAGTTCAAATTGCTCCATCAGTAAATGCACCACATTGGAATGTAGGCTGAACACTATAGTCCATACAAGGGGCGCTATGGTTGTGCCTAACTAGATAAGTGGTAGTCTCTAGGTCATCAGTATAACTGAGAAATTGTTCCCGATTTTGGTTAAATTAAGGTCTATTACATTTGAATCTGGAGTTTGCCATTAGTTGAAGAGACCAGAAGAATACAAGAATTGCTGCACAATTTTGTGAGTGTCTCCAAGGATGCATAGATCACAGTACACAGTCTGACTCACCTTCTTGGGGGACCCTTTGGTTTGTGTACATTGTTGGTTTTGGAGGTAGTTTTACATGAACAAATTCAATATTTTTAGTAATGTGCTGTCAACAATCTTATTAAACACTACTTTATATGTAATAAAATAATTGGGAAATTTTTTGAATGTTCTATTTAGGTTGGAAGAAGAACCAGGAAGCTTTAGGTCCTCCTAATCGGGAATTGTTTGATTGTCTTAGTCCAAGGCTCTTTAAACCTGTTGCATTGTTCCTGGGCATTGGGCTTGTGGTCAGTGAGAGCTGCATCTCTAATCAAGTGTACAGGGCCTGTGAGATTTGCTGGAACAATGGCTGCACCTTTGAAACTATGTTAATCAATATTTGTTTTTTCCAATTTGAGACACAAAATGAAAAAAAATAACCTTGCCAGGTTTGAAAGAATTTCAGTGTTTGT